GCTGGGGGCCTGGAACCCGGCGGCGCGCGCGCAAGGGGCTGGCGGCGGCCTGAGCCTTCAGGGCGAGGGAGGGTGGGAGAAGGGGCTGGGCCTCGCCCCGCCGCTCCCAGAACCTGGGTCTGACCCACTGCGGCGGGAGCGGGGCACCAGTCCATCAGCCTCCACGCGGGGACAGCCTAAAGCGAGGGTGGTCGCCAAATGCTCCCTCGGATGCGGATCCGGCCCGTCTTGATCCACCGCCTACAGTAGGCACGGCGAGCCTGCATTTTGAAGAGTTCCTGCCAGGCGAGTGTAGTGGGGGTCCCTCCCTGGACGCTGTTGCCTGAGTTGAAGCCACGAGCTTTGGTTCAGTTGAAACTGTGGCAGAAGGCACCGCCCCACAGTGGACTTGGGAACGGGACCCCACCGCCTGGACAATCTAGAGAAAAGCACGGGGCACCTGCAGCGACGCCTACCTGGAGAAGTGTCCAGGGGAAGACAGCCGGGGACAGGAGAGACCTGTAACTTCCCCATCAGACAAGGGAATCAGCTTGAGATTTAGAAAATTCTTTAACTAAATGCAGAGTTTCTAAGTGGCTCGGTGGCTTTTAAGGAAGTGTTTATGAGATCAAAAGCTTCATGTACCGTCTGACACATAAAATCCAGTTATTGGATAAACAAAGTGGAAGGACCGAGGATTTCCTATTTAATATGAGTGACAGGACGGATGAATTAGCACACTGCAACATTATGATAGCTGTAAGATGCTATGGGAGCCGGGAAACAATTTTCCTGCTCCTCTGAGGAGAGCTGGGAAGGCTTCACCAAGGAGTGACTTGACTTTGGATACACGTAACTTTTCTAAGATCTTCCCTGGAACTTCATAGACAGGGATGCTCAAGAAAAAATTTTTTTTTTAAATTCAGGATTTCTTTGTTCTCTTAAAATTAGAGGTTTCACAAAAATTGTTTAAGTGGTTTGTAAGTGTGGACATTGATATCAATAGATGTCTACAAAACTGGAAAATTTGTACAAGTATTTAGTTCATGTAAAAGTAACCCATTACATGTTAACATAAATAACATTTTTGTGAAAAATAACTTTGAGCAAAAAACCACTGAGAATAATGACATTGTTTCACATTTTTGCACATTCCTTAAAGTCTGGTTTTATAAAAGACAGCCTGATTCTCTTATCTACTGCATTAAGTCTTTTGTGATAAGTTATTTGATTAAGGTATAGGAAGAATATTGGTGACAGGAGGATGTGAGGGACCCTATGAATAGGTCAGGAACTATAATTTTGTTTTAACAGGCTCCTTAAACTTTAATGTGCAAATGAATCACTTACAAATGTTATCAAAATACAGTTGACCCTTGAACTAGACGGGTGGCTACATGAATCGCTCGGGTCCACTTACACAGGCATTTTTTTCAATAAATACTGCAATTACACAGTCCACGTTTGGTTGACTGAAGATGCAGAACTTTGCTCTGGAGGAACAGGTTCATGCAGGGCCAACGATAAATTATAAGCGGATTTTCACCTGCATGGAGGGTGGGTACCCCAACCCCCATGTTGTTCAAGGGTCTACTGTACAGATTGATTTAGTAGGTCTGGGATGCAGCCTGAGATTGTGTATTTATAACCAGCTCCCAAGTGTTGCCTGAAGGTGCTGGTGGAGACCAGCTCCTTTTTATAATGTAACTGAGGCTTTTAAAATAATGGTAATAATAATCAGAGCCCAGCCTGTTAGATTAGTAGCAGTTTAAGGTTTTAGGAAAACAATGGCCAATTTACTCAGTATAGATTTCCTGGTTTTTATAGGGGAAAAAAAGGGCCAATTTATTTAATACAGTTTCCTTGATCTTTAAAAAATAAATGTTCCAGCAAACTTTCTGCCAAGGGTTTTTATTTTCTTCTCTCTGCATATTCTCTCGAACATTTTTAACTGACCTGAAAGTCTCTGTTCTTTCTAGCACTTTTTTCACTTTCCTGTGTCTTGGTGTTTTACTTAGAAATGTTCCAGAGGTTTCCTTAATGTAACATGGGATACAGGATTTTAAAATCCAGACAGACTTGAATGTAAGTTCTGCTCTGTTAGTTACCAATTATGCTGACAGATGATTCAGTGTCTTATAGCCTGTTTTATAGTCTCAGCACACTTTTCCCCCTGAGGAAAAATCCCAAGTATGTATGGATGTGTGCATTTTAAAGAAATTGGAGCCAATCATTTCAGTTATAGGATAAAGTAAATTTTTGTCCGTCTGCTTGCTGTAACATTACAGTGGGCTGCAAGGCCCTCACGTCCTGGTCTGTTACCTCTGACCTCATCTACTGCTCTTCTCGCTCAGTCCACGCTTATCCACACTTGGCTTCCTTGCTTTCTGTGACACATCAAACACCATCCCACATTACAGCCTTTGCTGTAATTGTTCTCTTGTCCTAAAAATCTTTTACTCCAGAAACCTCCTTGGCTGACTTGATCACCTTTAAGCATTTACTCGTCTCATTTTTCTAATTTAACCTGCGCTGTCTTTCACAATGCAGCCTCTGTCCCTGTCTCGTCTCCAACACACTCTGAACCCTGCTCTATGTTTCTTTTCCATGGTACTTGTCACCTTCTAACATAGTGTATATATGCTGCTTTACTGTAGTTAGTATTTATAATAATTCAGTCTCTCTTAATAGGTAAGCATGAAGACAGGCATCTTTGTTTCACTCGCTGCTGTATCCCAATTTACCTGAATGGTTCCTGGTGCATATTAGGCACTCAGAAAGTATTTGTGGGCTAAATGAATAAATAAGCTATTAAAAAATGATGATTCAGATGACAGAGTAGCCAACCAGAAAAATGTCTATGAAAGCAGATGGCAGACCAAGTATAAAAATTGTAATGTTAAATGTTCACAACTTAAGGTTCTGAAGGTTACCACTTAAAAAGCATCTCAGATTGTATTAACAAATAAAACTCAAAAGTTGCCTAGGAAACATAAGCCTAAAGCAAAATGACACAGAATACATAGTAAGTGTATTAATTAGTTTAGACTGCCAAAACCAAATGCCTTATAGACTGAGTGGTTTTGTTAGGCAGTTAGATAGAAATGAGCACCGGGCAGGGGAGAGGAAGAGGAAAGGAGCAACCCAGAAAATAACAGCACACCTGCGCTCAGGATAAGGGGCTCCAAAAACGTTTACTTTCTCTAAATGAGGGCCAGCAAAGAAGCCGGCCAGAAGGACCCGGCTTAACTTGACTAATGCTCATTATAATGTAGTTAACACTGCATTTTGAGCTCCCTCCCATAGGTTTTTCTGTGTGCACCATGGGTAAAAACATGCGTAAAAATGATGGGCTTGCCTGAGCACAAGGAACATGAGCCATCAGTCAGCCTGAGCACTCAAAGAACCTGAGCTGTGAATCAATCCATCAATCACGACAACACCCTCTAACTCGGGATGGAAAAACAACAGGAAAAACAGGGGTGTTGCCATCTTTCCTCTCTTGGATTGGCCCACTTCCCATGCTTGGGATGTACTGTATTTTACTACCTTTTTACTTTGTTGATAAAACCTTGTTTGTATCACGCTGTCTCTCATTAAAAATTCATGGGTTTTGGGTGACTAAGAACCAAGGTAACTCTTATTTTCCTCCTCCCGGTTGTTAGGCTAGATTGAGAAGACTGAGGCTGAGGGAAGGTGGGGAGAAAGACCAAAGGAGGCAGTGAAGCCAAAAAGAAACTTTATTGGGAGTTAGCGCTCCCGGGCGAGGTTCCGCGACTCGGAGGATCGGAGTCGGGGAAGTCGGGGGAGTGCGGGGGTTTTTAAGTGCGATAGGTTCCGGGTGGCAGCCCACAAGGGTGGGGTCGGTCAAATGAGGCAAAAAGTTGCTGTGGCTTTCTGTGATTGGCCAGGTGTTGGCGCCGGCGGGCTTCCCGAAGCGGGTGGTCCTTCGAGTGTGTGGCTATCTGATTGGCCAGAGGTTGGCGGAACCGGCTGTTCGCGTCCCTGCCCCCACAGGCCTATCACCGGTAACAACAGAAATCTGTTTCTTGTAATTCTAGAGGCTGGAAAGTCCAAGATCAAGGTGCTGGCCAATTACAGTTGCTGGTGAGAGCTCTTTTCCTGGCTTGTAGATGGCCACCTTCTCCCTGGGTCCTCACATGGCCTTTCCTTGTGTGCACACGGGGAGAGAGAGCTGTATCTCTCAAGTTTGCCAAGCCTCTTGGTTTAGAACTCCACCCTTATGACCTCATTTAACTGTAATTACCTCCTCAAAGCCATATCTCCAAATACCATCACATTGGGAGTTTGAGCTTCAGCATATGAATGAGGGGTGGTGTGTGTGTGCACAATTCAGTCCCTAGTATTAAGCTAAGATACATAAGCTAGAGCAAAATAATCCATTTCGGGGGGAAACAAGGATTGAAACAACCTAATTGCCAGTAAACCAAACTGGGTCTTTTCTGGACTAAGAAGGAGAGGAAGAGACAGGGAAGTAAAGGGAAGAGAAAAGAAGGGGAGGGAAGGGAAGGGAAGGATCAGGGTCCAATTAAGGAAGAGAAAACCCCAAAACAGAGCTTCATGCAAAACAGAAAAACATCCTTCGGCAATATTCGAATATATGATAAAAAGTTTTTTAGATATGTGCTTAAATATGTTCAAAGTGGTTCATAGATTTTTCAAAATCTTTTCAGGAGTATCCTAGGGGGGATAAATCTGAAGACCACAGAACAAAAAACTACAGAACACTCTTTTTAAGCTTTAATGTGGCAGGCTGGGAGAGGAAAGGTGATTATCTGAAGATCTTGACTAATTCTAGACTAATCTTTACAGAAATTGGTGGGCATTACGATTTTGATTTACACCCAGATGGTAATGTGGCAATAAAATCAACACGGTTTGCATCTTAAGCACCTGCCATTTGAAATTGTATGATTCTGAATAAAATATTAATGGGGGGTTACATTATTTTAAACATTGTACATGACCTGAAAGCTTACCAGTATTTTTCTTTTGTAGTGTTTGAACTTTACATTATTTAATTGGTATCATCTGACATTACTGTTTTACCTCAGCCCAAACGTGTGGTTAGTTCCAGGCATGGTGTGTGCTTTAGAGATTTGGAAGTAAAGAGTGAGGTAGTAAGGGTAAACTATTTCTTGATCTCATCTAGGTGAGGTAGATCCTAAAGTGGTGATCCTCAAATTTGAACAGATTTGTCAAATATCAGACTCTTTCTACCTGCCTCTAAAGTGTCTCTGAGGAAAAAAAACCAGATTTTTTCCATGTCATTCAATAGAATTAATTTTCCACATTGTTCGGTGACATTAATTTGGGTATGAAGAATAACAATTTACTTAATTTTCTTACTGTATGTATATTTTTAAGATGTTCTCATTCCGGAGGGGAGGACCGCCTAGAAACTCCTTCTGCTAAAAAGTTAACCGATGTAGGAATTAGAAGAATCTTCTCTTCAGAGCATGACATTTTCCGGGAAAGTGTAAGGAAGTTTTTTCAAGAAGAAGTGATCCCTCATCACACAGAGTAAGTGGCACATTTTCCTTTAAAGTAATGTACATTAGAAGTACAATAAGGACCATTTCCTAGAATGCTGTGTGTTGTTTTATAGAAAAAACGCCATGTTCAGTGCTTTATTAACATTTTTACCACTCTTCAGTAGAATAGTGTAAGATTACGAGATTCTTAAACTAGTTCAAAGATTTTTGAGTTTTAAAGCATACAGTGAAAAATACGTTGACCTAAAACAAATAGACTGCCAGTTATTTCTCTAGTAAAAGAAATGGGTTTATTCAGTATCAGCAGAGAATTGCAATTGGGGGTCTGCAACCATGGCAAGACACATGCAAGTTCCTTTCGCAGCAAGAAAAGGAGAATGCTTTTATAGAGGGGAGAAGGAAGTTGGGGAGGGCTAGAGTAAACGAAGAGTCCAGGGCTTTTCAGTGGCTGAGTCCTTGCTGGAAAAGTACCTGCTGGGCTCCGCTATTGTCGCAGGGTGTGAGAGCTCCCCTCTGGTACTCCGGGGAGTTTATTTTATTGAACTTTATTAATTTTTTACAAATAGGAAAATTTGAAACTTTGCAATGTAATCTAAGAATAGGTTCTTTGAAAACTCAGGTTAAGTGGCAACAAAATATTTGTCAATTCCATATTCTTTCTTTTTCTGCTTCATGAATGAGTTAAAATACATAAAAGCTTAAAAGACCAGCATAGTGCAAATCTTGGCAGGCAATTGGCTACCTCAAAGCATTTTCATTACTGAATGAGCCATTTATTGATTAAATGATTAATTACTGATTACCTACTTTATTTACCAAAAAGCTGTTATTTCTGTTAAAATAAGATTTTGCTATGTTTTCAAATTTCACTCAAACCAGTATTTTACTACAATTAGAATTTTCTTTAAATGTTTAAAGAGCTTCCATTAAGTTTTTATCATCACTTTCTCAGTAAGAATGAAATTATCTGAAGTCTTATGCCATGGCTGGTCTTTGGTAAAAAACAACTAGCTTCTTAAAGATAAAAGAAGCATAGTATACTTCACTCTAGGAGAATCTTTTTTGTTTATTACTTTATGATTTTAAATTTTGTTTCAGAAAAATTGTTGGTGAGGACTTGAAGTAAAAATGATAGAAGTTGACAAATTTTGGATTGATAATAGAAATATTTCCAAAGCTACTTTAAGCAGTAACTACATCAAAACGCACATGATAACCAAATTGTTTCTATTAAAATTTCTTAAAATATCTGTGTTTACCTTTAATCAGTATCTTCAAATACCACTTATTTTACTAGCTGTATCTAATTACCACTTAAATTTTTTTTCAGATTACTTATTTTTAGCTGGTCATCTCTTTCCTCATACATTATCATTTTTGAAGAAGAAAAGCAAAGGTTGCACAATCTTACTCAAATATCTAATCTTTTTTAGAAGTTCCTTTGACAGAGCTCTGCTGTGAAATGCGTCTGCTCTTCTGTTGTTCCATTGTTTCTCTTCAACTGTGATAAGGTTACCTACTCTTTTCAGCTTTTACGTATGTTCCTTCCATAAGTTTAGCATTTTAAGGAAATATGCAGAGAGTAATTGCCTTTACAGGACAGGTTGGGCAAATTCTCATGACTGTCTGGCACAACTGAGCTTGCTCCCTAGAGTACCAGCTGAGGGAACCACATCCATGATACCAGTGGATATAATTTGCAGGTACAATAAATCATCAAGGCTGGGAGGACAGAGGGGAAGAAAGTGGCAAATATGAAGAGAACAAGAAGGAGAAGAAATGATAAAAGTGTCAAATGCAAGTAGAAGGGTCTGGCCAATGTCGGCAATTACCTTAAATTAAGGGCACATGCCTGCACAAAATCATTCATAAATTCATATTGTGGCCATTTAAATAATACAAAAAATGTTTTTCTGATTTTTTAAATGTCTGTCTTTTTAGATGGGAGAAAGCTGGAGAAGTGAGCAGGGAGCTTTGGGAAAAAGCTGGAAAACAAGGACTGCTGGGCATCAATATTGCAGAGCGTCATGGTGGCATTGGGGGGGACTTGTACTCGTCAGCTATTGTTTGGGAGGAGCAGTAAGTATGGAAATCTTTGAAGCAGAGCCTAGTTTTGTCAACTCACTTTTCTGAAATGATGACTTTAAAATGCTTTCTAATCTTGTAAGACTGAAAATCCCCTTTCAAGTTGTTAAAATTTGTGCTTCATTTCTAATTGACCATGTGGTTATTTTCCCTCTTTTAAAAAGATACTTGAAAGAGAGTGGAAGAGTGGAAAGATTATTTCCGTCAAATATGCTAACATCACATATAGATTTCAGTTGATAAGTGGGCAAAAGATTTTAACCAACAGTTTATCAAAAAAGAAATGCAAATAGGTTTTTTAGGTGAAAAATGTCTATTTTTACCACCAAGCAGATGCAAAGTTTATCCTTATTAGTCAATTATTCTGAGTACCTATGAAAGTTAGTGAAAATGAAAAGTCATAATACCCAGTGCTGACAAGGTTGTGGTGAAAGTGACCACATATAGTTTTGGTGGCATTATAAATTATAACAATGCTTGCATTGGGGATTAAAAACATAGAGGTATAAAAAACAAAAATATTTCTGCTTTTTGATCTAGGATGCCATTTTAGGAAATTTATCTTAAAGAAATAATTTAATAGAAAAAAATAGCAGCTATGTACAAACATCATTGCCATGTTAGATCATAATCCCCCAAATTTGGAAGCAATCTAAATGTCTGGCAGTGGAAGAATGAATAAGTAAATTATAGTAAATAAGCAGTTTGTAATATTTTGCAGCTATTTAAGATTATTACTGTGCCAAATTTTATAAGTACACAATTAACACTATGACTGCAACTATATTAGAGCATGTATTTCCTTTTGGCAAAGATTGTTTGCCAAAATGAAAGTAGTTACTGTGTTAGGGTGATACAGTTGTAGGTGATACATTTTTTTAATGTTTTATGTTTCAGTTCATTAAATCCATGTTCACTGAGCTCTGTGAGAGCACTGTTACTATGTTAGAGCCAGAAATTAAAAGGTTATTTAACACAAAGATTGAAAACCTTCAAGAACTTCGTAAGTTTGTAGGGAGACAAGCTATTCCACACAATGTGAGAGGACCTTTTGTTTTTTTCTAATTGAGAATCAAAGAAACTAAAAAGTATGAAATATCTATTTTATGCTTTAAATTGTCTTTTTTTCTTTCTAAGGGCATATTCGAATTGCACAGGCCCAGGTTTTAGTCTTCATTCGGATATTGTCATGCCCTATATTGCGAACTATGGCTCAGAAGAACAGATTAAGCACTTTATCCCCCAGATGACTGCAGGGAAGTGTATTGGTGCCATAGCAATGACAGAGCCTGGAGCAGGAAGGTAAAGCGACATTTAGTTGGTTTGGAAATCTTGGAAGCAATGCCTTAACAGCAGATATTATCTGAGTACCTGAATTATGTAAAACTCTGAGCAATATGCTAAGAGGAATACAAACAGAAATACAGCATCACTCACAGCTTCAAGTAACTTCAGATTCCAGTAGAAAAATAAGGCCTTATCATAATGGTTAACAATACAGCAGATTGTATTAGAGGTTGAGTTTGAGATACTAACATAGTGTGATACAAATAAGATATTGAGATGTGAGTTGAATTTGGAGCATGATGATTTTTTTTTTTTTTTGGAGCATGATGAATTTTAGATGTGGTGTGATATTTTACATGGAAATGTGCAGCAGGCTATTAAAATATGAATTTGGAAGTCTGGAGACCGGCTGGGGTGGCAACAGGTTTTAAAAGCCATGAAAACTGAAGCAATGGAAATGAATAAGGTCATGTATTTAGTCATTTGATAGTTACTTAGTAAGTGCCTTCCACATGCCAGGTATAAGGAGGGGAACAACACAGATGAGGTGTCTGTGCTCATTGAGGAGAATGACAAGAAACATATAAACAGATATATTTGCAATTATAAATTATGATAAGTACTATGAAGGAAACAAGGTGCTATGTTAGAGACTCATGGTGCATGTGTGGTTGATGGGGAAGGGAAAAAATGAATTTAGATGCTGGTGTTAGGAAAGACCTATATAAAGTGATTCTGTTTGAACTGAGACCTGACAAATGAGAAGTTTAAAAGAGGGAGTTAGAGCTGCCTTGTGGTGGGACCTGGTCCTCGTGGGGTTAAGTAAAAGGATGAAAAGGAGACCAGGGAGGAAGCCGTGCCGTGGGCATCACTGTTTCCTTTGGAACTGTCCAAAAGATGTAGTGACAGAGACAGGAAGACTGAATCTGAAGGAAATCTAGACAAGTCGTCTGTCATGAGCTCAAGGTGAAGTGAGTTTGAAAAGGTGACGGGATAGGAGTGAGGAGTTAGTCGTGCCAAGGCCACAGAGCTGTTGAGAATTGAGAAAAAGTCATGGCAGCCAACGGTGGATTTTTTTTTTCAGTGGTGGATTTTTTTTATTGTGATTTCAGGAGAGAGGAGAGGCAGAAGTTACTTTGGAAAGGGAGTAAGATGGGTAGTGAGAAAACAGAGGCAGAGAACACAGACTAAACTTTTTCAGAGTTGTGTCATGAAAGGAAGCGCAGTGAGGAAACAGCAGTTTGACAAGCTAGCATGGCCAGGGAAATGGCTTATGTTGATGAGAGGAGTGACTTACAGGCCAGTGGGAAACAGGCAGTATGGAGGGAGAGCTTAGAGATGTGGCAGAGCAGTGATCTAAAATCCAAGACTTGTTTCTGCAAGATCAGGCCCTAATATTTTAATTTTTCAACAGTGTATTTACTTTTAAATGTCTTAATATGTCATAGTGTCATTTGGCAATTTGCTTAAATTCTATTTATCTTTCCCAGTTATAAATCTATGATTAAAGGCTAACAGAGATACTTAATTTTGCCAAACTAAACAGGTTTTACTTCTTTTGCCTAAAAATGTGACCTAAAAGAAGTAGGAATTTAATCTCCTTCCTTTGCTTTTGAGATCATTCTCTAAGATAACTGGCTGACTGTCCAGTTTTGATTGCATCATATTAGTCCACGATCAGAGCGTTGTTGTTCCAAACCACTGCATTTCAGCTCTCAGCTGGAGGCTAAAGAATCAGTGGGAGACCTTGATTTATTGCCAACTCACACGTACAAACAAAGGCTTGCTTGTTTTGTGTTTTTAAAAATTCTCTGTGCTCATCTGTGGTTAGGTACATGTCATTAAGAAGGAAACTGAGAATGAGAATGGAATGGAGGCAGGTTTGGGGGGTAGGTTGGTGAGAGTAATGCAGGGAGAGCAGATCCGTCAGATACTTAGAGAGAGAAGCGGTGGGGGCATATGGGTAAGAGAGTGCAAGAATGGAGGAAAGTTGCAGCTGAAGAAGAGTATCAGAGTGTTGGTGAGAAGTAAAGAAAAAGCCTGTGGGAGGGAAAGAATCAAGAAGATGGAATGTGGTTCATTTTTACCTTCTTTCAGAGGTTTGCATTGATTTGGCCTTTGTTCTTGCATTGATTTGACCTTCACGGGAAAAGGCTGACTTTGCTGGAAAAGATGCAGGCTTTCACTGGCCCTTTCCCCTGTCATGTACATAGGAGACTCCATTATGTATAGTTATATGTGTTTGTATGATACCTTAACATTTTATGTGCATGTTGATTTTCTTATTTGCTATCATAATAACCCATATGAAATATAGAAATATCGTGATCTCTACATAAGGGAAGGCAGAAAGTGAGAAACAAAGTATTTTAACCAAACGCGTAGTGCAAGTTGGTAACTGCATCGGACCCAGGGTGTTCTGTCATCAGCTATGTGATTGTAGGCAAAATCTCTGAGCCTGGGTGCCTATAGCAGTGAGGTCAAGAAAATGATAATTAATGGGGTTCTTGTGAGGGTGTGATTTCTTGCCAATACTAAGTGGTATATTTTAAAACCATTTTTTACTCTTTCATATTTACCATTCAAAAGTTGTTTTAAAAATCCACAAACTGAGCTGTATCATTACCTTCGTTACCTTTGATATGCCCCTGTATAGAAGAATTGTTTCAATAAACCGTGCGTAGATTTTAGCAGTTGGTACTTCATACTGGCATGTGATGAAAATTCTGTTGGAATACAACAGCCCGCAGCTCTAAAATGTTCCCTATGTGCATCCTTCCTTTTGCTGAAAAGTAGGCTGCAGACTGATTGACAGATTTTTGTCGTTTAACCTATCTTTCAAATAGGTGGCCTTGTTTCAAATGTTGATGTCCTGAAGACCACCCCAGGTTCAATGATCTGCTGGGGGGAATCACAGGATGCAGCATATGACCATACTCACAGCTATCATTTATTACAGTGAAAGGATACAAAGCAAAATCAGCAAGAGGGAAGTTCTCATGGATTTAAATCTATTGAAAACCAGGAGCAACTTCTAAGAGGCCTCTCCAGTGGATCACGTGGAACTTGCTTAATTCTTTCAGCAACAAGTTGTGACAATATATGAGAAACATTGTCCACCATGGTAGCTCATTAGAGAGACTCAGTGCCCAGTGTTTTACTGGAGGCTGGTCACTGAGGCACCCTCTGCCTCGCATGTACCAGAAGTTGAGATTTCCTGAAAGAAGGCAGGCATTCGGCGTTGACCATACTGTTGGCACCAACAGTTTAGGCCCAGTGTGTCTCCTGAAATCCAAACTCAGACATGCCAGCCAAGAGCCCACCTTGAGGTCAAGCCCAAGGCCTGCTATTTGCTCTTTTCTGCATATTTAGCATTTTAAAAATGTGATTCAACAAATGCTTAGTGAGTGCCTGTTATGTGCAAAGCAATATGCTAGGCGAGGGGCATGTAAACATGATCTTGATATACACTGTGTCCTCAGAAGGCTTGAGTCTGGTATGTGGGGTAGTGGGAAAGATAAGAATTTTTTATTAAAAATTCAAGGTAAGATTTTAAGAAAGTGTTTTTGTTTCTGATGGCTTCTGTAACAAATTACACAAACTTGGTGGCCCAAAACAACAGAAATTTATTCTCTCGAGGTTCTGAAAGCCAGAAGTCCAAAATTTGAATCAGTGGTTCCAAATCAGAGTATCAGCTGGGCCTCAGTCCCTCCAGAAGTTCTAGGGAGAATCCATTCCTTGGTTCTTCCATCTCCTCAGGCTACCGACATCCCTTCCCTTGTGGCCTCATCACTCCAGCCTCTGCGTCTGTGGGCACGTTGTAATGTGTCTCTTCTGTCTGTGTAATTTCCCTTTGCCTCTCTCTCACACGGACATTTGTGATTGTTTTTAGGGTCAATTCAGAGAATCCAAAATAATCTCCCCATCTCAAGGTTAATCACATCTGCAAGGCCCTTTTTCAGTATAAGGTACCACAGATTCCAGAGATTAGGACCTGCTCTATGTGAGGATCATTATTCAGTCTGATATGGAAAGTGATTTTAAAAAGTGCCATGGGATATATAATATAAAGTCCTTAGACAAAAAGAAGAATCAGAAAAATTTCACAGCAATAAATGATATGAACTATTTATATATGATGCTGTTCATTGTAGGATATCTATGAAAATTAGAAGTGGAAGCTACCTAAGTCTTCAAAAATAGGAGATTAAAAAAAACTTGATGAATCCAGTGCATTTGGTTTCAGGTCTCTTCCCTGTCCTATGGTCACCACTGAATTTGTCAATATCCTCCTTAATTGCTAGTTTTAGAAATCATACTTTATTGCTGTACAGTGTATAAAAGAAGGATATCAGATATCACCCCTTTGGATTCTCAGTGGCTGTCATCATGGCACAAGATCTGGAAAAGCATGGGGCATTAGTCACAAGTGGGCAGATCATGGGACCTATGGGAGCCCAGGAATGTGTTTAATTTGGTTAATCTGTTTAATTTAAAAATAAACCTTGAACCAACTGTAAAAACCAGGAAAGTGTACGTAAACATTCATATTTCTGGCTTTTCTTGAAACTTGGGAACATCTGCCAATACTGTGTTCTTGTTTTTGGTTCTTATTCTTTTTAGTGGGGGCATAGCCCTTTAGATGGAATATGACTTAGTCTTGTAGATGCACCACCACTTCAGTTGTCTCCCTGAAACCAAGATCTATTGTCAGTTTCCATCTATTGCTGAATCTTACCTGCTGTCTTTCCTACTGTAAAGAAATCTCTTTCTCTTAAAAGTGTGAAAATGAAAGATAAATGAAGAAGGCTGCCATGTTTTCAAAAAGTGAGGTGGAATACTTGTTTGTGGAAATAAAGCATATTCTTGTGTGTTTAAAAATCCATACTATTGGATGACCATGGAGAATGTCATTCTAAGTGAAGTAAGCCAGAAAGAGAAAGAAAAATACCTTATGATAGCATTCATATGTGGAATCTAAAAAAAAAAAAAGACAAATAAACTTAAGTATAAAACAGAAACAGACTCATAAACATGAAATACAAACTTGTGGTTACCAGAGGGGAGGGGTGTGGAAAGGGATAGACTGGGAGTTCGAGATTTGTAGATACTGACAGGTATATACAGAATAGATAAACAGGTTTATACTGTATGGCACAGGGAAATCTATTCAAGATCTTGTAGTACCTCACGGTGAAAAATATGAAAATGAATATATGTATATTCATGTATGACTGAAAAATTGTGCTGTATACCAGAATTTGACACAATATTGTAAACTAACTCAATAAAAAATGTAAAATCATATATACATATCATAGCAAAGCCTTATGATGAAATTCTATGCCACTAGTAAAAATTATCTTATAGAAAAACAATAGATATTATTAAGAAATCAGAATCATATGTATGGTTCCATTTTTATAAAAAAATACACATATGTGTGTATCTGTTTCCATAGAAAAATACTGGGAGGATATATTTTTAAAATGTTCATTACAGGAGGTAAAATTGTTCTTAAAATTGTTTTCCTCCTTTGTCTAGATTATTGTCTGTGTTTTTCATATTTAAGTTGTAGTGATTTGTTTATCTTATATTTAGAAAAATAACCTATTCTACTTTCAGAGCAGGCTTGTTAGAGGAAGTGTCATTTGAGACACAGTCTTTTAAATAGCTAAGCTTTTTGGGCAGAGATAAGGGAAGGAACCAAGGGGAATAGAGGCAGGAAGGTTCGTGGTGACAAGTAGTCTGAGGTATGTAGTAGGCCTTGAAGTGTCATCCGAGTCCAGTTTGGGGGTCTTGGATGCTAATTGGGCCTTGTTATGCTCTGTGGAATCTGGCTGGTTTATGTAATATCAATCAAATATTCACTTGCATAAATAGTCTAGAATACATTAGACACGATTTTTCAGTGGATTTGTGTGAACATTTCCAATATTAGTTGGATGTCAGTGTTTATAGTGGTGTAACCAGTTTGAATTATCACAATGTATACATACTTACATAACAACACTTGCATAGTTCGTTTTTTACCAATTAATACACTTTTTTTATCCTTTCTTTCAATTACAGTGATTTGCAGGGAATAAGAACAAATGCCAAAAAGGATGGAAGTGACTGGATTCTCAATGGAAGCAAGGTGTGTAAAGAGGGGCTTCCACAGCCCTCCTCCCCAGGGTCATACCATGGGTAACAGTGCCTGAAAGACTACTTACTTATCATTGATCTTGTCAGATCTAGGGACTCACAGGAATTGGGTTTACTTGAGTTGGCACAAGTTGACCTGTTTTGTCTTGGAGATAGTAAGAACAGTGCAACATTTATACTGTGTGAGATCTGCTCCTCTTCTGTGTTCTGTTTTGCATGCCTCCTCACTAATACAGAAAATGTTTTAGCTTCCAAACAGCCCTTGACTGTCATAATTAAGAAAGAAATCAAAGAAGCCTTCTCTTAGAAAGAGAATTAATTCCCTTATAACTTTATTAGAAAAGAGGATCAGTCATGGTGGAAATACTCACATTAGGTATTAGTAACATACAGGTGCTAATTCCTGGATGCCGTGTGATTAAAAACAAATAACAAAAGCACTATTTCAGCAGTTCAACTGTGGCAGCTACACAAAAGGTCATTATTATCTTAGAAAGGTAGGAAGTTGGGAGACCTGAATTGTTTTTGAGCAAGGGAGTGGTGTAATGGAAAAACGCTGTAGAGAAAAATATTTCTACCATGATGTATAGAAATTTTTTGAGGAATGTACTTTTCTCATTTATTCAACAAACATCCTTGAAGGCCTCCTACAAGACAAATGCTATTCCAAGCACTGAGGGTAGATATGTGGATAAGAAATAGTCCCCACCCTCAAGGAGCTCCCAGTGCAGAGAGATGCTGAGAGTCGTTTATTATTATAACCATGGCACCGCTGTTGCCTTCATTAGCTGTCATGTAGACAACAGTAATATCATTGACTCATTTCCCATTATTTGTAAGTATCAGTGCCCTGGATTTTAGAGCTTAAATCTTCTTACAAAGGGGACAGTTGGCAGGTGATGAGAGTAACCAACACCATTTTATACCCATACTATTTCAAAGGGACAGAGACAAAATTAGGTCATTTGAATACAGTTTGATAAATGCTAAGGTGACAGTAAATTCAGGGTGCTATGGGAGCACTTAACCCAGCGGGAATTTGGGAAGACTGTTTGGAAGAGATGACGCCTGAACTTAGTCCAGGATGAGTAGGCTTCAGTGTAGCAGAGTTGGGAAAGGGCCTCCCAAGTAGAGGAAATAATATTTCTAAAGAGCCATAGGTAAGGACGACCTTAGAATATGGGGGAAGGACAGCAAGTAATTCAGTAGAACTAACTTAAAGAAAAGGAATGAGGGACAAGTGGGACAACAGGTAAGGCAGGACCGGTAAGCTGGTGCCAGTTTGTGATGAGTTTTATATGTCCTGCTGAAGTTTAGAGTTTATCCTGAAGCCTATGAGGGGCTATTCAGAGATTTTTCAAATGTGAACGCAGCGTGACCAGATTGCATTTTTAAAAGATCTTTCTGACATCGTGATGGATAATAGAGCTGCAGAGAGATCAGTTGTAGGAACTTACACAGGAAATGAGGAGGCCTGAAATAAGGTAATGGCAGTCTCAGTGAAAGGAGGTGAGTAGACTTAAAAGTATTGGAATAGATTAGAGAGAAGTAAATGTTGAATTGAATATGGAGCAGGATAACATGATTTATTGGCAGCATCCACTCACATAGGGAAAACGGACTTTTATGCAGAATTAGATAAGAGTAGGGGTGGGAAGGAATGTGTTCCTTGAGTCATCAGGTGGAATTATCCAGAAGCAGGCCGGTATACAGGTCTCAAAACTAGCAAGAAATCTGGCTTACATAAAGATTTGAAGTCATCAACATATAGATGGCAACTAAAGCCACAGAAGTGGTTGAGATGACCCAGGAAAGATACAGAATGAGAAGATAATTACTAATATTTGCTCTAGGTATGTTTATTTTCTGAATAAATATTATCTAATAAACTAATATCTCTTATTTAGTTTGTTTTATCTCTCCTTAATCAGTCTCTTCCTTATTTAGGCCATTTGGAAAGAAGTAGACCTTCCATCATGAAATCAAAAGTATCCCTTTTCAAAAACTGATGAAGCTGAACATACAAATACTTGACTAGTATAGTGCCATTTACAGCAGATTTCTTTTTCTTGTCTGACGCTTCTTTCTAAAATACAGTTTAGTATTTTTATAGGAACTTTTGTTTTAGTTGGAAAATAACATAATAATTTCTTCTTATTATTATTTACAATATTAATAGTGGGAAGAAAATGTATAGGGTTCATTCTTTGACCCACTGGATAACTTTCCCCCTACTCTTTAATAACCTCATGAATATCAACACTGTAGATATGAATATGATATATAGATATGTATGAATAATCAATACTGTAGATATCTGGAGAGAGTACACAGAGAGGTGTAAAGCATGTTTGGTTTGGTTTAGTCTTCTTGTATATACTGTCCCCCGATCCTGACTCATACGTGGACCTGAGTTATCGCGAAGCATCGCAGTTTACTTGGGCTTCTGCAGGTGTTCATCACAAATGGGTGGCTGAGTGACTTGGTGATCGTAGTGGCAGTCACAAATCGTGAAGCTCGCTCCCCTGCCCATGGCATTAGCCTCTTTCTGGTGGAAAATGGAATGAAAGGATTTATCAAGGGACAAAAGCTCCAAAAAATGGGACTCAAAGCCCAGGTAAGTCATAATATAAATTTGTATTCATAACATAAATCACTTATAAATATAATTCATATTATTATAAATGAGTTTACTCAATTACGCTTTATATATCGAACTACGTATAGCACAATCATACCGTCCTATGCTGGATTCTTAAAATATACGTTTCAGAAATGATAATGGAGATTTATTCCACCGTTGTGTAGCTATGGTCAGCAGTGACAGTGAATCAGGGTATTGTGAAAATCTGCTTTAGAAATGGCAACATTAACTGCATGATAATAGACCCTCTATTTCTGAGATTCACTAAAGAAAATTATGAAATAAGAACAGAAAACATTTTTATACTATGTGATCATTGTCTGGTAATTTTTTTCATTACCAAAAAGAAAAACATGTTTTACTTGATATGCATTAGAAATCTGTGGTCCTTGGGAAGAACAATATAGCTTACTGGTATAGCACATGCTAGTATTCATGAGGTCCTAGGTTCAATCCCCAGTACCTCCAATAAAAAAATAAATGAATAAATAAAATGAATGTGTTTGAAAAAAAGAAAGAAATTCTTAGTCCTTAATACCTATAGAGCTGGACAGTATTAGAGCTAGAATGACAGGGTATTGCAGTGGGAAAACCACTTTTGGAATCTGATGGACCTAGGTTTGAATCCTTGGTTTACCACTTACTAGTTTTCATTAACCACTCCCAACTAGGCTTCCAGTTGGTTTGGTTTTGTTTTTGTTTTTTCTTTTTTTTTTAACATTTTTTATTGATTTATAATCATTTTACAATGTTGTGTCAAATTCCAGTGTTCAGCACAATTTTTCAGTCATTCATGGACATATATACACTCATTGTCACATTTTTTTCTCTGTGAGTTATCATAACATTTTGTGTATATTTCCCTGTGCTATACAGTGTAATCTTGTTTATCTATTCTACAATTTTAAAATCCCAGTCTATCCCTTCCCACCCTCCACCCCCCTGGTAACCACAAGTCTGTATTCTCTGTCTGTGAATCTATTTCTGTCCTGTATTTATGCTTTGTTTTTGTTTGTTTGTTTGTTTTTGTTTTTTCAATGAAAATAATAATCACCTCATCAGGTTATTGGAAGATTTCAATGAGATAATTCTGTACTCAATTGTATGCTCCCTTAGGATACTGCAGAATTATTCTTTGAAGATGTACGGTTGCCAGCGAGTGCCCTACTTGGAGAAGAGAATAAAGGATTCTATTACCTCATGCAAGAGCTTCCACAGGTCAGAAGTATTAGATAGTCTGTCTTGTGATTAGATAATGGACTGGAATAGAATGATGGAGAATGATAAAAAGTCCGTGCATAAAAACTTGTGATATAGCCAATCACTTGAGTATAACTTGAAGTTGTAAAAATATATACATATGAGTTTTGTAGGCTGGATGTGTGACTAACTTAACTATAAAGAGTTAAGAAATAAATTAACCTTCAGTCTTATAAAGATTATTTATGTGATTTATTATCACTGAAATCCTGTGAAAATCACTTGTGTAATTAGAATAATGTTCAAGACCTAATTTTGGGTTATAGGAAAGGCTGTTGATTGCTGAGTTGGCAGTTTCAGCCAGTGAATTCATGTTTGAAGAAACCAGGAACTACGTTAAACAAAGAAAAGCTTTTGGGAAAACAGTTGCACATATACAGGTAAGCTTATTCTTATGGTTTAGTATTAGATAATGTCAAAGTCCTCACCTCTAATGGATCTAGGCTCAGCACGAACAGGGAGTAATTTTCATGTAGGTGATATTAGAATCCATGGAAGTGGGTGAGATCACTGAGGAAGACAGTAGAGAGTAAGACAAAAGAGATCCTAGGACAGAGTTCTGAGAAAAAAAAAATTACAAGATTTAGTGGTAAAATAGGAAGGGAAGAGCCTACAAAGACAACTGAGATGAAGAGCCAGAAAGGAGACAGCAAATCGGGCAAGTATTGTTGCAGAAGCCAAGGGAAAAGCGGATTTCAAGTAGATAGGAGCTACTTAGAGGGAAAAGGAGATGAAGGTTAAAGAGTGCCCGCTGGATATGGAAGTTATTTCATGAGAACCATTAATGGACTGGTGTGGTTGCCAGACCAGAGTGAGTAGAGGAGTAAATGGAAATAAAGTGAAGATACTGATGGCTGGTGACTGTTTCCTGAGTTTTGCTGTGAATGGTAGTTGAGAGAAAGGATGGTAGTTACTAGGAGGCAAGAAGAGGAGGGTAGGGAGGGAAAGGGGAAGTATTTGGAGATCAAGTGAAATATTTGGAGATTATTAAATTTTTGTTATGATTAGGATAAGAATGCTGGAACATATTTCAATACCTAGAGAAAAGATTTAGTAAAGAAGGAAAGATTGTAGGTATGGAGAGCATAATTAACTGCATGTGATCTTTGAGAAAGTGTGAGGTGTAGGTGCAAAGCACATGGAAAGGTAGGGCTCCCCATCCCAACAGGAGAGGCCCCTCCCCCACTGAAACGGGGGGAAAAAAAAAGAGGAAAAAGTGGGCAGGGGTTCAGCTTTCTTGGTGGAAAATTGCAAAAGCTCCCTTCCAAAGACTTCCGTATCTTTACATACCAAAAGGTAAGAAGGAGATGTGAGTGACTAGGGCATGGAGGTGTCTGAGAAGAGAAAGGAAGCTTTGAGATCTTAGAGTGAGAGACAGAACTGACTAGAGACACAGGGTAAGCTTGCTGGTGGTAGTGAGGACCCAAATGAGGTTAGTGATCATGAATTTTTAGTGACACCTGCTTTTTTGTGTATTAGCTTTTACTAAAAGGGTTTTGTTTCCCAGGTTCAAGCACAGAGAAGGTGGATGATTGTGTTTCCACTTCTTGAGTTTTGCCAGGAAGTTTAAGGTATTTGCAAAAGAACGCAGTATATGGTAGCCATAAAATGTCAATCAAGTTTTGGGCCCTGTAGTTTCTTCTTGAATGAAGGAACACTATAAACAGTGCAGTCATCAAGAAACTTGGAGTTGGAAGTCTACTTGAAGAGTTTTAAGTGGAATGTCTCAGCTGAAAGGCTTTGTGAAGGAAAGGGGAGAGATGCTTTGGTAGCTTTCCAGGACAGCATTAAAGAAATTAAGTAAAGGTGTGGTTTAAATCCTATTACAGCTACTTAACTCTCTGTGGGCTAGGCAAGTTGCATTATCTCTTCAGAAGCATTTTCTTATTGTTAAGATGCAAATAATATCGGTAGCTACCTCCTAGAGTTACTAGGAGGATTAGGTGAGATAATACACATAAAGTGCTTAGAATATTGCCTGGCAAAGCAAGCGTTCATTAAAGTTAGCTGTAACAGTTGACCCTTGAACAACACAGGTTTGAACTGCCTAGGTCTATTTACACATGAATTTTTTTCAGTAAATACATTGGAAACATTTTTGGAGATATGGGACAACTTAAAACTTGTAGATGAAGTGTGTAGCCTAAAAATATCCAAAAAATTTAAAAACGTATGTCATGAATGCATAAAATATATGTCGATACTAGTCTATTTTATCATTTACTACCATGCAATATACATGAATTTATTATAGAAAGTTAAAATTTATCAAAACTTAATACACAGACCATACATGGTACCATTGGTTACACTAGGCTACCATAAAGCAGTTGCTGTTTCTTTACCTATAAATAAACATGAATTTCTTTTGCATGTAATCTTTTCAATTTTGCTGTCTAGGTTTAGTAATACGTATAACATCTGCTTTTTTGTATCCTGTGAGACAATATTGCTATAGACCCTGACAGACATTGTAAGCTTACAATATCAATAACCACAGTACAGTGCTGTAAATGTATTTTCTCTTTCCTATTATTTTAATAACATTTTATTTTCTCTAGCTTACTTTATTGCAAGATTACAGTATATAATGCGTTTAACACAAACTATGTGCTAATCAATGATTTATGTTATGGGTGAGGCTTCTGATCAGCAGGAGGCTACTAGTAATTAAGTTTTGGAGGAGTCATAAGGTTATACTCTGATTTTTGACTGCATGGGGTGGCAGTGCCCCTAACCCCCACATTGTTCAAGGGTGAACTGTGTTTTTTTTTCCTCTTACATAACATCTTTTTCCATTTATTCCAATAAAGGGAGTCTTTTTATCAACTTCTCCTTCTTGTTCCTGATCTGGACTTAACTCCATGTCATTTGGGGAACGATTTGCTGCCTACATATTCATCAGGTTAACTTTCTCCATTCTGAAAAAAAAACTTCTCTACACCCTAACTTTTCTTATTGACATAGCAGATCTAAATACAGTTGTTCTGTGTCTAGAAAAATGAGGCACACACTTAAACAAGCAAATATTTTTAAAAAACAGGATGACTTGATTTGCCTCCGTTGTGATTTCCTTAAGAGAAGAGCAAGGATGTTACAGGTTATGTTCCCTTTCATTTATGTATCCCTGATGTACACATATCAGTGATTCTTGATGACTGCCGTCTTCCCCCTGGCATTTAGAAATGTCAGGCAGTAGGGGTGCAAAGCGACTGGGGGTGGAACTCGTGTTCCGTGCTCTGGAGGCCAGTGTTGCTAAATGTCCTGTAATTTAGAGAGAGCTTTACATAGCAACTAATTGTCTTACTCAAAATGCCAGTAGTCTCCCATTGAGAAATACTGATACATATGTTTGTTTCACTGAGCAAATACATATTGATTACCTTCTAAAGTTCATGTGCTCAGATGTAGTTTGATAGGTATGGCGCTGGAAATAGATGCTCTGGGCTCCTAGCAGTACGAAGACAGAGATACCACTTGGTGTCACTTGGTGACTTTCCCAGCTGTATCCAAAGTGGAATTAGTATCATTTGCTTCTCAAATCCAACCACCACCACTTTCACATCAAAAATACTTATCACAATGCTCATGCCTTTAGCCCTATTCTGGATACTATAACAAATGAACCAGACAGACATATTTTCTATCCCCTTAGGAAATCTACACTTCCTGTGTTTATAGACTTCATATTAAGTCACAGCAAAGATGACTGTAATATTACATTTAACCATAAAGAAAATGGAAAGTTGGTATAATATTTTCCCATGGGAGAAAAAAGTTCTAAATATTATTTAATAACATGTGTATATATATGTATATATGTATGTGTGTATTTTGATGGCAAAAAGAGAAGAAATAGTCTTAATCCTTTTCAAAGCAAGTGTCATTAAATTGTTGCCTTCTTTCAAAAGTACTTTACTAAAATTTCACTAGGTGGCAGTAGAATTCTGCTATCACAGGCACGTATAGCGTGGGTAGGAGTTGTTTTCTAAGTTAAATGTGTATTTTCTGGGATTTCTGAGCTACTTCTTCTAATCTTGTTTTATATAAATAAGTATTTTTGAATAATATTTTCATATTCAATCTAGGTATATATTCAGAGAAGATGAATGGCCAATACATGCTTATACCTCCTATTCTAAAGCTGGGTATACAGTGGTTCCAGTATTAAATTGAAATAGAAGACCTTTAAATGTCATATTATACTTGGCCAAATGTCATTTTTATGACCGTAAAACTATTCAGTGTCCTTTCTCTTTGTTACCCTTGAATTTTGAACATTTTGGGCCTTCCTGACCTTTCAGATACATTTCACAAATTTATTTTCTTTTTAGAATGGAGACCTGCCACACTTAAGCTGCAACAGTTATGAGATTTTCATTTCTTTTCTTTCATTTTCTCCATGGTAGTTGTCAAGTCTTATGATTTTCCGTGGAACGGACAATAAAAGAGTAAAATTCAGATATTTAATAATGATAATGTCTGTCATTTATTGATGTCCCCTATATGCCAGGCACTGTGCTAAATGAATTATTTTTTTCTTCACAACAACTCTGTATGATAAATTCTGTATTTATCTTTATTTTACAGATAAGGATATTGAAGCATAGAGAAGTTAAGTAAGTTGCTCAGGATTACAAACATACTCTTAACTCCAGAACCTATCCCTTAACCCATATTCTATTGGAAATCTAAAGTTGATAGACTTTTTTTTTCTTTTTCCATATCTTTCACCTGTGAACAATGAAGTGCAATTTCAACATTCTCTTCTAATCCAAGCTTTAGTTATCTCCTATGTGGTATGTACTCGTGATGCTAAGGGCACAAATTATTATGGAAAATATAGGAGAGGTAAAAAAATAACATTTTTTCCTTACTTTCCTCCAAAAAGGGCATATTCCATTCTTAAGACCTTGAGTGTGGAGTTAATTAACTATAAAATGAGGTAACAAACCTAAATGGTTATATTTTATATTTGAGTCATAATATATCAGGGTACATCTAATGGCGCTGTTTAAGTGGAATAGTGGGCTCAGTAACCACTCCAAGATGTCTTCTAATTCCTTAATTCTATGATTCTAGGAATTGTGTCATTCAGAACTCAGAAAGAGACTCTGTATGATCTACTTTGCAACTTCAGGGGATTTTTTTTTAATGAAATGCTAGATGCAGTAGTATCTATGAGCGACTATTAATGAATGTTAAAAAAATACTGCAAGAGCATTCTGATATTCACAAAGAGCACCTTGCTCATAATCTGTGGTACAGTTATTGGCTGCCATTCATTAGAGAATCATTTCTGAAAGTATAAAGCTGTGTCTGCAGTGAAGAGCAAAGACCAAATGTGTTTACTAACCCAACTCAATGGCAAGAGTATGTAAATATTTAATCTCTTTATCCCCTGAGAGTAAATTATATACTCTGGAGGCATTAATTCCTTCAAACCTGTGGACCTCACTGAATGTACTGAAGTATGAATTCTAAATGAGCCCATCCTGGTCTGAAATTTAACTTTAGCTTCTAAAAGCTTCTGGGATTTCCACGGAAACAGCTCTCATATGAGATAATTGGGCTTACAGGTCTTGATTCTCTCATTTTGTAAATAGTGCATAAATTCTCAAATGTGCCATCACGGGGTGGATGGGTGGAGCAGTGTAGAAGTATCTTGAGATTTGTCAGATCCCCTCCCTTATTTTCCAAATGAAGTGTCATAAATAGTGTCATTGACCTAGACCGAGGGTAAGCTAAGGACTTGGTTTCAGGGATTTTCATGAATATATAATTCATTGTTTTCAGTGTATAGAAGGGTATTTCCCCACTTTTTCATTTCTTATTCCATCTTTAGATTTTTCTGTGACTAAACTTGGATGTGTGGGGTGGGAATGGGAAACTTTATGCTGATTAAAGTCTAGAGATTTGTCCTAGATAAATATAATAGAAAAAGTAAGAGAAAGTATGAGAGAGGAAGAAAAATTTGGTGTAACCTGGCATGTTCTGAATTGGAAGCCAGGATATAAGAGGTTGGAAAGTGTGGTGCCAGCCTTCCCACTGCTTGGTTTTGGAATTATTAGATGCCAGGAAGATGATCTGTTTCTAGAAGAAGATGGGGTAAACCCCAGGGAAAGGCAGTCAGTTGGGTTTTTCATCAGCGCAGTAGTTATGTTGATGTATATATGAGGAATCTGTCCCTCGGAGCTCCTCCTCCAGCTGACACATTCTGGTCTTGCCTGGTCCTGGGTTTTACTATACTCCTTTTCTGTTCTTTTCCAGAAGTAGAAAGTACCCAAACTGTCTCTACTACAATGATGCTTTGAAGGGTTCGATTTTGTGGTTTAAGACTCTCCTTAACCAGTAGGAAAGGCAGAGCTAACATCCTCTGAATGTCTGGTCCCTAAAGCCTTCCTTTGAGAACACAATCATGGCTTTGAACTTGCCATTGCATAGGTGGGGCACATTTATAATTTCTAAGTTTGCATTTCACTGTGCCACCTTTGTCACCAACTTCCATGCCTTTTATTAGCCACAGTGAAGGTCTCACTCATAAATTTCACAGCAGAATGATCAAAACTCTGTTTCTATCTGAATTTCCATAAGGAAGATAGAGTCAGCTGATCATAGCTCAGCCTTGAATCTAAGAGGTCAACTAGAATGGGGTGTATTTTTAGAGGTTACCCAACATGGAAAGCCAGTGTTATTTCATATCTCAGCCAGTTTCTTGAAGGAGGTTCAAGAATCAGTATCCAAAAGGCCAGATGTAAAAGGTGTGAGAACCCAGAGTCGGGAGTGTAAGAATATGAGATCTGAAGTGAGAACAGCTGAGAACAATTGAGGAGGGTCTCCATAGATGATTTCCAAGAATACTATTGATTGTCTATGGTATCAGGGGGAGATGTATAGGTATGTTAACGCCAACAATTCCAGACCATTCAGTTCAAGTTAGAGACCGTTCTAGAAAAACTACTGAGAGAGATAGGGAGGGTGAGGAAAAGTGGAAAAGGTTGGGGGGTTCTGGACTTTGATGTCTTGAGTGTTCTGATTCTGTTATTCTATTATATTCTACACATCTAGTTTAAATACTTTGCAATATAAAATAATACTGTCTAATAAATATTTTTGATATTGTCCCTCCAGTCTGTTATTTTATTACTTTATTCTAAGACAAACAAGCAGAATAAAGAAATACATATACTTCATTTCATTAATAGGGAAAAATTCTTCATGGATTTAGATTCCAGAGGAAAACAGGTGTTTTCAACAGCTGTGCTTAAAGGACTGTGCCACAAGATGGTGCTCGCTCATTAAAGTCATGCTGTTTTTCAGAAAGTTCCCTGAATGGTTTAAATTTTTTAATCCAAAGCAGAGATGTTATTTATGTGTTTATCTATTTTTGCATCTTTTCTTTTAGTACAAGTTTTCTTAGCAATGAAATATAGTGAGTGTTTAAGTTGTTTAGTTAACATATGCCTCTTTTTTAGAGAAAAAAACAGTAATTCCACTTTTGTTTTGCTGTAAAGATCTTTTATTATATAATTTTTGACATGCTAGGTGACTCAATATGCGCTTCTCCTATGTTCATTTTTTCCTTTCGTTTCCTTTAAACTCAAGACGGTGCAGCATAAGCTAGCAGAATTAAAAACACACATTTGTGTAACGAGAGCTTTTGTGGACAGCTGTCTCCAGCTGCATGAAACGAAACGTCTGGACTCTGCCACTGCTTCCATGGCGAAATATTGGTATGCATGCTACAGTAGTTAAAATGGGTGTTTGCACAGACTGTTATGGAATTCATCCAAGTTGAAACTCGGCCTTGAGGGTCTTAAAGGAAGACGGCTGAGTAACTGAAAGCTAGCAGTAAGAACCACCTTTTATAAAAATGCTGAAAGATCCCATTAGGCCTATTTATAACGTGCTAAAACTTACTCAAGTTGGTTTTTAACTTTTAGTTTGCCATTGAAAGTAAAATATTAAGAGACTGAAGTAGGATGACTGATTAGTTCATTCAAGTAATAGTTTAATTTCAAATTATCTGCAGAGTGGCAGTATAGTGAGACCAAAAAGGAACAGTAGAATAGCAATACTTAGAATCCTGAGATGGAATCCCAATTCTTTCATTAAATAACTATAATTAAATTTAATTCTCTCTGGGCCAACATTTTGATATCTGTGAAATGAGTATTTTGGACAAGATTTTTCTATGTAAAATGTTTTCCAGATTGAAGAAACACTTCTGAAGAATTGACTGTCCAGTCAAAAGTTGTACATGCTCTGTTAAGGGAAAGGGAAAAAAATGGCCTATAGAAACATTTTCATTCATATTAAAGATGATTAGCAATGGTATTAAAGATGAGTAAATTAAGAAAGACCCCCGTAAGGCTTTTGCGTATTTTAAGATGCAAGAACATAGTTTAAATCAGACTCTGGAAGTCGCTTTGGTTTCCTCGGTTTTAAAAACATTCTCACATCTCATTAGCCCAAAAATAACCTAGAACAAAAATTCCTGTCATTATTCATTAACTTGTTTTCAGTTCAATCAGAAGTTGTGGGGAAATTTGCAGAACAGTGCTTTGTATAATGATTCCAAAATAATAAAGTGGCCAAGTTGAAAAGTCATATGGAATTACTAAGAACTTAACGCTTTTGAGGGAGACATTTTACTTCTACATGTATAGCAAGGTTTTTGACTATTGGGAAAAAGTGCAAAAAAAATTTTTGGAAAAGACTTTTTGGAAAAAGAGATATTTGGATAGCTATTGGCTTTCCTTTTCTTTGAAAACACAGGTTTATAGACATATTGGTATTTCACATTGGAGCAGAGGAAGCAACTAGTTATAACCTAGTAAATATTTCACTAAAATACTGGCCAATACAAAAATTTATAGAATTCCAAATACTATTGCCCCCTGAGTCTTGTCTGTTAATCATTATACTGTTACTGTATTTCCTTACCTGTCCTATGGTTTGAAATTGTTAAAAATTATTTTGTATAGGAAAATATATCTATGCTTATCTCTGCTTTATATTTCCCACTGTTGAAATATAAGTTGAGAAGATTTTGAACTAACATATTTATAAAGTGAGTAAAATCCCTACCAATTATCTTACAGATTTTAACAATAGTTAAAATAGATAAGAACAGAAAAGAATGTTTCTCAAGTACCTCATACTAATAGATAGATATATATATATACACACTTCAGGAATAATAATTCCCAAATAATCTTTAATAAATTTCTTATATGAAAGTATGTACTCTAATAGTGGTCTCTCCTCTTAGGATTTCACTTTTACTTTCAGTTTATTTCTGAAAACCCTGAAAAAATTTTTTTTCACAGTTACTAAAATTCAGAATTGCAACCTTTAGGTAGGAAGTGACACATTTGAAGATAAAAACACATATTACACAAGGCAAAAGAGAATGGATGGCTGCATAATTATATAGTCTCTTATAATTTAGATCATTTAGAGAATCTAAATAAATTAGACCAAATTCAACTTTTCATTATATCATGTTCAGGCTTGAAATAGCCAAAATTAAATAGTCTAAGCTTTCTACATTTTGTTTCAAATCTTAATAAAAACCCAGACAGAAATATAATTGATGAAGAAAGTATTCATTATGTGAAAATTCTCCTGAGATTTATTTCACATGTAATTGATGGCAATCTTCTTTGGTTGGCAATTTTAATTGTTTGATAAATGTGCACATTTAAACAATCATAAAATAATTTGTTTCCTGATTGTAAAGCATCTCATGAAAATTCATGACAAATGTTCCTTTTCTGCTTTTTATTTTGGCCATCTAGGGCATCCGAGTTACAAAACAGTGTAGCTTATGACTGTGTGCAGCTGCATGGAGGTTGGGGATACATGTGGGCGTTCCCAATTGCAAAGTGAGTATATCTGCTGTGTTACACTCCTCTGGATGGTGTGAAGAAAAAGGAACATTTCTTTAACTGTCCTTTGTACATTGAGTACAGAGGGAAAGGAGGTGCAAAATCTTGGTGTTCTTCAATTGACTCTGGAGTGTGTTCAAACAGTTAGAAACAGCTTTATGTTATCAGCTCACCAGTAGGATTTTATCATTTTTTTAAAAAAAGTGAAGATGGTGGGGGAGGGTATAACTCAAGTGGTAGAGCTCATGCTTAGCATATACAAGGTCCTGGGTTCAATCCCCAGTACCTCCTCTAAAAATAAATAAATAAATAACCCTTATTACCTCCCCTCTCCACAGAAACAAAAAGAAAAACAAAAACAAAAGTGAAAATATATGTTAGTACAAATATACTAAATATAAATAAACATAAATATACAGTATATTAAGCTTTATCTGACTCATTATACAGGGTATATATCACTTATTTTTAGTTGAATACTATTTTATTCTAATTGATTAACCATATTGTCAGGTTGTTTCTAACTTTTTACTGTGACAAACAATGCTGAAACAGATACCTTCATACATTTATCTTAGATATATGTATGTATCTTTTTATTACAACAGGACAGAGTCGCAAAAGTAGTATTGCTAGCTCAAAAGTATGCATATTTTAAATTTTAATGCATTTCCAGATTATTTCCTCCAATTTGTAGTAACTCATACTCAAAAGAACAAATCTGAGAATGACTTAGCCTCCTAAGCTATCAATGTATATTGCCTTTTAAACTTTGTGCTAATCTAATGGGTAAAAATAGGTTATTATTTGTTTAATTCGCATTGACTATTGATTATTTTATTTTACTGTAGTAAGAGCACTTAACATGAGATCTATCCTCTTCACAATTTTTTAAGCATGCCACACAGTATTTTAACTATAGGCATAATGTTTAATTAACTCTAGATCTCTAGAACTTACTCGTTTTGCTTAACTGAAACTTTATACCTGTTGATTAGTAACTCCCCACTTCTCCCTCCCCTGTCCCCTGGCAACCACTATTCCTCTTTGATTCTATGAATTTGACTGTTTTAGATACCTCATATAGGTGGAATTATATCTTTGTTTTGTTGTGACTAGTTTATTTCACTTAGGAGAATGTCCTCAAGGTTCATCCAGGTTGTGACATACTGCAGAGTTTCCTTCTGTTTAAGGTTAAATAGTATTTCACTGTATGTTATACTGCAGTTTATCCACTCATCTGTCCATGGATATACAAGTTGTTTCCACATCTTGGCTATTATGAATAATACTGCAGTGAACATGTGAGTGCTAATAGCACGTGGAGGTTCTGCTTTCAATTCTTTTGACTAAATACTTAGAAGTGGGATTTCTGGATCATCTGTAGTTCAATTTAATTTTTGGAGGAACTTGATACTGTTTTTCAAAGTGGCTGCTATGCCCCAGTTCTCATTCCCTCCAACAATGTGCCAACATTCCAATTTCTCCACATCCTGGACAACACTTGTCTTTGTTTATTCTTTTGTTTTGTTAATAGCTATCCTGACAGGTGTGAGATGATAGCTCATTGTGATTCTGATTTCCATTTCCCTGATGATTAGTGACACTGAACATTTTTCATATACCTATTGGACATTTGTACGTCTTGTTTGGAAATACCACTTTTTTAAAACTAAAAAAAAAAAAAGTAGGCATTACATAAAAATTAACCTGTGTGTGAAAAGGATCTAACTTGTCATATCTTACATTTTTTATTATTTACTTTGCTCTAAAAATCAAAAGTACTACTTTTTCCTAAATAGATTTTACATTTCCTTCAAATTAAAATAAATGAAATACAATGTTTTTATTGTGTTACATATGAATATTCTTGTTATCATTTCAGAGCAGTACCAGTTTGTCAGTAGCCAGCATCCTCTTCCATATTTCTTCCTCCATCTCCATAATTTCTCCTTTCCCTCTTCCTATAGTCTTTTGCCTCAGTAATCTCCCCATGGCATTTCTCCTCATCACTCTATAAACATTATTTTTGTTCTTATTTAGCAATATTTTTAGCTTATAAAATTTTCCCAAAGAAGTTTTTGCTGTATAGAGAGAAGCCTAATTTAGTTCTGGATCTAAGAATGAGAACGCTATGGGCTTCTAAAACCTTTTTCTAATATTAACCTAAACCGAGTATCTAAAGGGAAAAGTTAGTTATCACACTAGAATTCAAATTTACTTTCAAATTTATAACTTTGGCAAGCATAATTGAAAACATTTGATATGTTTATAGCCCTTAATGAGAAAAATAAACATTTTATTCAAGTTACATTAAGAACAGAAGCTCCAGCATAGATATAATTTACTAATTTTCCATAGCCAATGGGCAGCTCAAAAAGCTTTAATCACTGGGTTATATAATTTATAACTTTTTATAAAAACTCAGCAAGTAGTTTTTTCCTTCAGAATGTAGGCATGAAGTAGCTCAATGATTTCCTTTTCTTTATCAGTCCTTGGAGTTGGATTTTGGTATATCCTTTCAGAACTACTTCAAACAAGCCTTAATCAAAAGCAGATTTATTTTTTTTCTTTGTATAGTCATGAATTCAGAAGTAAACACTGAGTTATACTAACACAAATTAAATCATTGCTGGAATTTTTCCTGTGTGTTTTCATGTTTTATTCAGAATATTAATCCATCTTATTCACAATGTTCACAATGCTAAGAAAGTAAAATAATAATGGATGGTTATATTTTTCTACTTAACTGTGCTGTTATAACTGCTGCTGGAATGTAGCCATGTAGTGGCTCAGTGCTTGTTTAATTTAGTTCAGTTTCTAAGAAAGACACATTAAATGAAGAGGAGTCAACAATCTACATGGTCCAAGATTAGAGTGTAGCGTAAAACTTGGTCTCTGTTTTCTCAGAGGCAATTCCTTCAGGTCAACAGTAAGCAAAAATTCTAGCTTGATGGCTTACGTGAAATCCCTGGTTTCAATTTAAGAGACATATTTCCTTTCAGGAATAATAATCCCCTTCTTGGCCAGCTTGTTGGTTTGAAGACTGTATGAACTTTTAAACTAGACTGCCATCTCTCTCCCCAAAGACATAGGGAAGGAATTTTTCATAAGATAACAAGAGAGAGTAGTAGACAATTATCAAAAAAGCTAGACACATTAGGCCGTATGTGGATGAAGTGTGCAGACTTTGATGTGATAGAAAAAAATCATTCTAATTGTGTTTTTTATATCCTTAGATTAAGCTATATTGTGTGTGTGTGTGTGTGTGTGTGTGTGTTGCTGGGCTCAGATCAAAGAGGTGCTTTTTGCTTTTTTATTTTGTTTCATTTTATTTGTTTTTTGTTTGTCTGTTTGTTTTGAAATAACAAGTCTTAAGCGTAAGAGTTTATTTTGGTCTTACTCAGGAGGCTTGGGCCTGGGGTCAATGAGGCTTAAGTTTTGCCATTTCAAGACTTGTCTGCAGGGGTAGGAAGAGCTGCTTTATCACTGTGTGGTTAAACATTCCTTCTGCTGCCTTTCTCTGTTAATTTTAGTTGATGACTGAATTTAATGAGTAACCTATAAAAGATCTACTGATCTCTGTCAGTTACCCACTCCATTGGAACCCTTTTAATGTGAAAAAAATATGTCCAAAAATGTCTAAAAGAAATGAGATTGCTGAAGTAGGCTGCAATGTAGGTTCTCTATATGAAAGTGCTGGATTTTGTGGGCAACAATGGCTTCTGTTCAAAAGAAAAAGAAAAAAAAAATTGAAAACACAAATGTCTGTAGATTTCAAGTTTCATCAGAAAGTAGGTACTGAGACTCTAAAATTCCTTTGTAATATAGTAAGTCAAATCAATAAATATTTACTGAGTGCTTACTATTGGCCTATTACCATGATGAATATGGACAAGGATAAGTCCAGAGTTGGTCATGTTCCTAGAGAGCTGGCACATTTAATTTGTCTCAAAAATTAAAAAAAAAAACAGATTTTATGCTTTAAAAAAATACCTTTGAATATGTCTACTAGAAAAATCTGAAGATCAATAACTAATTCTACAATTAGTCAATGAAAATACTGAGATATAATTTAAAAAAAAACATACTTGCCAAAGTTGCAGAATACCTGCCTTTTTATTCCAGGCTGCCAATGATCTGTTATTTAAGCATTAAAATAGCAATCATTAATTGGTATATGCTTTAACTTTTCTGCACTCAGTTTCTTTACCTGCAAGATGGTAATAATATTTATCCTCCCTGATTCCAAAGCTGAGAGAATAAAATGAGATAAGAAAAGGTAAAAACACCTACACAGTGTTATGGTTGCTGTCATCACTACCGAAAGTGAATTCCTTCTTGTTTTTTTCTGGCAGTGTTCTCACCCACTCAGTATTTTAACCTCATACATTATTGGAGTGACTATTAACCATTTCCAGAAAAAAGTTACCTATTAACTTTGTGAAATAATATTTTTTGAAGCATCAATTTATACTCCTGCTGGCAGCAGTGGTGGCGGAAATCTAAAGGATATTAGAAAATATGTACTTTCTTTTTTCTTGTTTTCTATAAAACCAGTAGATTTCAACTTTTGGGGGGAAACATTAAAGGTAACAGGAAAATTAAGACATTACGTCCATTTCTAAATCTAAACTAGCCCTTTTTAGAATGCTGTTATGTGTGCTGAATTTTACAAAATTAAATTAAAAGAAACAAATGCTGTTTTGAATTTGTAATCTCTTTAAGCAAACTAAAACAAAGCTATACAGATGATCAGTATCTTAATAGAATTTTATAATTCCAATCTAGGATGCATGCCATACTGAAAAAAAAGTAATTTAGGAAGAACTTTTATTGTTTGGATTTCATTAAATGAATACTTTCATTAATAATTATCTGGTGAGAAAATTTGTAATTTCTAATATCTTTTGTTTATTCATTCAATCATCTTCAGAGCTTATGTGGATGCCCGAGTTCAGCCAATCTATGGTGGTACCAATGAAATAATGAAGGAGCTGATTGCAAGAGAGATCGTCTTTGACAAGTAGACATCTGCCCGCATCCTGGAATCCTATTACAACTAATCTGGTTTTAAATCTACTCAAGATAAAATACAACTTGGAAAGGGAGGGAACACTAAACATGTTTTGATATGCTCTATAGAGAAAGAACTCAAATGAAAATATACGATTAACACAGTGGGAGGAGAATTCAAAGATTCTAAAATTTTCCAATATAAAGTTTAACTTTGAATTTTTTTTGTATAGCTAAAAGGCAAAGATTTTTCTAATTCTGAAAACCTTAGTGTTTCATTTATCCCTAAAATTTTGAAGAGTATATTTGCCTAGATCTTTGAAATTGAGGGAGACATAATTTTGTTATTATACTATAAAACAATAATATTCACAGCATGTTGACTTTGAAAGGGAAACATAAATGTAATTTACAATGCAAAATAAATTTAGCTATCTTTCGTTCCAAATTCCCCAGAACGCCGGTTTCTACCACACTACCCTAAGCCTCTTTTTAAACAATGGAACACTTTCTTCAAACCAAAGCTTATGCAGAGTCCTTGTGAAATCCTCATGTATGAAGAGCTGCTCTGGTTGAACAGGAAGCCTTCCTACCTTACAGCCTTGGAACCACTGAGACTCAGCTAAGCATTTGCTTAATCCTGACTAGAGAATGCTGTTGGTTCTCTCAACCACTGACACCTGGCCTTTCAACAGATTTCCATCCCAGTTTAATTTCTAGGAGAACACATAGTAACCCATCATCTTTTGGTTTAGTTTAGTTTGTATTTTATAGGTATCAAAACAGTGACTTTTACTTTGGAGAAGAGTAAATTTTTAAATTAATTTAACAAATTTATAGTTTATGTCTTCTATAAACCAGGCTGTTAAAAATATGATGGGAAATATGATTTAAAAACTGGTAAGATCCCTGCTAGTAAGTGAAGAAACAAATTGTAAGAAGGTAAGAAGTAAATAAAATAATTTCAAATCATGACAAGGGCAATAAAAAAAAGTAAGCATTTAAAATAAGAAAGTGAGGAAATGATATTTGACTTGCAACTTTCCAGTAATTATCATCCATCCAAAAAACCACTGATTTGTAAACTACTAGCATCATTTTAGTACTTGTTTTTCTTTGCATATATTGGTGAGACGGTGAATGAAATAGTTTTTAAATGGAAATAAATAGATGTATTCTTGTTCAACTTAGAAAACCTAAAAATTTTATTAGTGTTGTGTGTATGAAACATTGTTTTTAAATGCAATCATTACAACTGGGTAGAGCAGAGAGAAGAGAAATTATTTTTATACCATTCTATTGTGGCCTTACTTACCTACCTTTGATTTGCTCTTGGATAGAAGTTTGTATGATTGCCAACTTGAGTTCTTGCTCATTTAATACCGTGCAAACAGGTTGAAATAAATTCTTATTAGATATTACTGTATTTGCTGCTTTCACCTCACTCCTACTACCAGGAAACAATAGAGAATTCGACAGAACAATCCCCCACTCCCACCTCCAGCCCCTTTTCCAATCTTAAAGGAAACTAGATTTTAGAAATACATCTGTAGGATAAAAAGTAATTTACATGGTGGGACACGCCTACCACATAGAGGTGTACAGACCTAGAGTTGAGTGATGACTCTACCGTACAGCAGCCATTGGACCTTGGGCAAATTATTTAAGTTCTCAGGATTCTTTCAGGTGCAGATGACAAAGAAACCCACTTCGCCTAAGCAAACACTTGAGTGTGCTAGCTGAAAAGGATTGTGGAATACCTCATACGATCTAAAGAACTATGGGAACTCGAATCTTAAGGGCCTAGATTCTGGGGTTTAGAACTGCTGGCACTTAACGCTACATCCACTTACTTCTACTTTTCATTGCAAATTGGCCTAATGGACGCTGCAGGGAAATTTCATTACAGGGCCTGTAAAAATGACCTTGGGCTGCTTCAGGCCTACATCCTTCAGCACAATGTCATTGTAAGGTGGGGGGAAAGGTGCACTGTGATTGACAATCCCATTAGGAACACACAAACTACAGGAAGCCGTTCCTGAAGCAGAGAGAGTGATACTATCAGAAGAAAGGGAACGGAAGTTCTGCTAGGCAGACCTCAGTCACTCTCACGCACACACATGCTCACAGTTATTACAGTCCACGCAACCTAGGAATAGGTCCTTGTAATTTTTATGTATCAGAAAGCGAAATGATTTCTAAGGTAGGGTATTTTCTCGGAATGATATCTGGGATGTTTTCTGTCTTCTAAGCTGGTTGTTTATCTTGCAAACTCCAGTCTTCTTTTGTACCCCCCAAAAGAAGCGAGTGCCGTATGATGAGCTTAAAGCAGAAAGCAAAACAAGGGATTCAGAATGTGTTCCTTAACCTCTTATTTACTTTTCATTTCTTAACTAGCTAATCTTCATGTTTTGCTTGTGTGGCTTTGATTATTGTTCCCTAGGGAGGCAATTTATCCTCTGTATCTCATGCAGGGCTAAGTGATCGAGAAATGATAAATAATAATAATAATGCTCAAAAAGAACAGACTGGACCAACACAGCAAGAAAGCCACACTGTGTAAATAATTAATGAGAATCAAAAAGCCTGAGTAATTTTGGTTTTTCGCTGAGATTTTTAGAATCATAATTGTTGCCTTAAAATGATTTTTGCCCTTTATTTCTTTGATGGTATTGTAGAAAATGACAATATAGAAAAGAAGCTGTTTAGATTTGCTGTTTTAAAATGTAACTGCCAACCTTGACTAATCTAGTAATTTTAGTAGTTTATTGCTCAAGGTATAAGATTTCTAGGAGTCTGAGTTTTTTCTTATGTCAGTATTATTTTTGGCACACACAGCATTTATTTATTTGGAGTCACTGGAAAGATTTGACATTGAGATGGAAGCCAACTGTAGGCCTGTCATATCTACTGCTTTATAATCAGTGTTGACAAGAAGTTCTGCCCTATTTTTGAAGTCTCATTTTCATGAGAAATTTTAAGAAAAGATTACAGAAAAATTCAAACACATTCAAAAATAGTGAAGATAGTGTAATGAACCTCTGGCTTCAACATTTGCCAATGTATATCCCCTGCTTTTTTTTCTCAATAATTTTGAAGCAAACCCCAGACTTAGTCTTATTTCACACACATGTCTTTCAGAATATGAATCTGGCTGTGAAGTTGTTTCACATAACCACAAGGCCATTATCATCATTTAAAACCTTAAATTTAATTTAGTTCCTAACTAACATTAAAGTTTTCTTAGCTGTATCAAGAATGAATTTTGTAGTTGCTTTGTTCAAATCAGATCCAAACCAGGTCTATAAATTGCGTTTTTTTGTATTCTCTCCCTGCATCTCTTATTTAATAACAATCCTCCCTTTTCTCTTTTTCCTTCTGTCTTTTTTAAATTTTATTTTTTAATTAACATACAGCAAATTTGCTTGTTTTTGGTATACATACGGTAAAATTGCTTTTTTGGTTCTCCAAATTTTAACATGTATATAGACATGTACAACCACCACCAAAATCAGGATACAGAACAGTTTCATGACCCCAAAAAACTACCTCATGCCTTTTATAGTCACATCATTTCTGTACTTCTAAACCCTGGCAACCACTGATCTGTTCTCTGTTATATTTTTGTCATTTTGAGACTGTCATATAAATCATACAGTACGTAACCCTTTAAGAATGGATTCTTTCTCTTAGTTTCATTCATGTTGTGTAAATTAATAGCTCCATCCTTTTTCAGTGCTAAATAGTAGCCCATTGTATGGGTAAACTACAGTTTATTTATTCATTCACCTGCTTAAGGACATTCTGATTGCTGAGATTAAATACCCAGGCAAGGAATTGTTGGGTCATAAAGGTATACATATGCTTAACGTTATAAGAAACTGCCGAGCTGTTTTTCCAGAATGCCTGTGCCATTTTGCCTTCTCACTAGCAATGAGAGTTTCAATAGTTCTGCACCTTCTCTAGTACTTGTTTTTTGTTTTGTTTTGTTGTTTTAGCCATTCGAATAGGTATGTAGTCGTATCTCATTGTGGCTTTAATTTGCGTTTCCCTATGTCTAATGATACTGAACCGCTTTTTGTGTGATTATTTGCCTTCCATATATCTTCTCTGGTGAATTGTTTGTTCAGATCTTTTGCTTGTTTTTCTAGTTGGATTGCTTGTTTTCTTAATATTGAGCTTTGATGCTTCTTTATATATTCTGATACTGTCAAGCAGAAGGCAAATCCAGCCAGTAAAGAAACAATGAGCCCTTTTTAGACTCAGTTTTCTGTCTTTTTTTCCCTTACGTAGAGAATGCAAAGATGAATAGCCAAAGGTGCCGGCCCTCTATGGCCTTTGCACAGGATGACACAAACAAAAGAGGCCAGGTGACTGCAACAAGAAGGATGGGTCACTCTTGCTGAGGATTCCATTCCATGATGCTTGCAAATCAGTTTTATAACTGCAGTTTTGCCCTAAGGATGAGGAGGCAGAAAGCCTCATCCCCCACCGGAACCTGGAAACAATGAGAAACTGTCTAATGCCAGCCTCCTGGGTAGACAGGGAAGTGAGTGAGAAACAGCACTGTTGCAGCAGCTCACATATCTCCTATGCTCTCCTGTTCCAGGAGGGCCACAAGGCATTCTGTCAAGATCCAGCTGCTGTTCAAGCCTTGCCTGTGTGGCCTGTTTGAAAACAGGCAAGGTGTTTGGGCTCTGGCTGTTTCCCTTGAGAAACAAGTCTTTTCTCAGATATGTGATTTGTAAATATCATCTCCCTATCTGTGGCTACTTCTTTCATTCTTTTAACAGTGAGTTTCATAGAGCACGTTTCTAATTTTGATGGCTTCCAATTTATCAATTTTAAATTTTATAGATCATGCATTTGGTATCATATCTAAGAACTCTTTGCTCAAACTCAAGTCCTGACATTTTTCTCCTATGTTTTCTTTCTTTTTTTTTCTTCTTTGCCGGTGTTTTGGATGTTGTCCATTCTATTTCCTATGTTTTCTTTTAAGAATCTTACATTTTATGTTGTTCATTTAGATCTATGTTCCATTTAGTAATTTTTTTAAAATCGGGTGAAATTTATGTTGAAGTGCATTTTTTTTGCATACAGATGTATAGATGTCTAATTCTTTCAATAACACTTGTTGAAAAGAGTATTTTTTTCATTGAATTTCTTTGTACTTTTGTCAAAAATCAATTGACCAAATTTGTGTGGATCTATTTTCTGACTGTGTTCTGTTGCATTTATCTGTGTATCTTCTCCTTCGTCTTAGTTACAGTAGCTTTATAGAAAGTTTTAAAATCAGATAATGGGATCCCTCTAATAGTATTCTTCTTTTTCAAAATCATTTTGGCCTTAGTAATTTCTTTAGCTTTACATGCGAATTTTTGAATCAACTTACCTATATCTACCAAAAAAAATCCTGCTGGGGTTTTGATTGGGACAGTAAATCTATAAATTTGGAGGAATTGCCATTTTTACAGTGCTGAATCCTGCAATCCATGAATGAGAATGTCTCAATTTATTTAGATCTTTGACTTATTTCTTCAATATTTTGTAGTTTTCAACTTAGAGATCCTGTATGTTTTGTTACATTTATAATTAAGTATTTCATTTTGGGGGGCAGGTACTATAAATTATATTGATGTTTAATTCTGGTTTACAATTATTTATTGCCAATATAATTGATTATTGTTTGTTGACCTTGTATCCTATAATCTAAACTCACTTGTAAATTCTAGGAGTCTTTTTGTAGAAACTTTTGGATTTTCTACATGGACAATAATATAATCCATGAATAGGGGAAGTTTGTTTCTTTTTAACCCATTTACTTTTCATTTCTTTTTACTTCTTTTAGTCTTCCTAACTTCATCCTTCTTCCCTCCTTCCCTCCCTTCCTCACTCCCTTCCTCATTCCCTCCCTTTCTCCATTTCTTTCTTTCTTTCTCTGTTTCTTCCTTCCTTTCTTTCTCTCTTATTGTACTTACAAGGATTGCCACTACAATGTTGAGTAGGAATGATGAGAATGGACATCCTTGTTTGTTTCTGATCTTAAAGGGAAAATTTTCAGGCTTTCACATTAAATATGATTTTTAAGTAGATTTTTAGTAGATGCCCTTGATTAGATTGAAGAAATTCCATTCTATTCCTAATTGAGATGAGAGTTTTTATCATTAGTGGATATTGAATTCTGTCAGATGGTTTCTACATTAATTGATATGATCATGTGTTTTTTTTCTTTTTTGAATTATTAATATAGTGAATTACATTGGTTGCATTTTGAATATTGAAACAGCTTTGCATTCCTGGATAAACCCTGATTGGTCATTACATGTTCTAATTTTTACTTATTACTTGGCTCTATTTGATATAGTTTATTGGGAATTTTTCTCATCAACTTTATAAGGGATATTTGCGTGCAGTTTTCTTG